GGCGGGAAGGGGGTGCAGAACAGGGGCAGAGGCTGGGTGAGGAGGCTGGGACCCTCCTGCCTGACCATCTCGCACCTGAAATCCTAAACGCCTTCCAGTGATTGGCCCCTGAACATGCAGGCCACAGGCCGCTCCTAATGGTGCTATATTTGGAGCGAGCCCGCGAGCGAGCGAGCAGGAGGTATTCCAATTATCTGTTCATTTCTAGAAATGCTCTAGCCGGAGGGACTGTTGCCTAGAGAACAAGGCCAAACATCAGCATGAAATAGAGATTTCCTATTCCTAGCGTAGCCCATGAGTAAGCCTCTCTGTGGCTCTTTGGAAAGTGTGTGTCAGAAGATGCAGAGAGGAGAACCCCTGAATCCGTTACTCATCTCTCGCCCCTAAAACTTGGACGAGCCCCCAAACCATCATTGCCTTCGTGCAAATATTCCCACTGCCCTGAGCGGTGTCTGACTTCGATGAGGGGCACCACCTCCTATGTGAACTGGCTGGGTGATAACATGTGTACGCATAGACACAAACCCCCACACGCATGTTCACACATATGCAAGGTGGTAGAATCCCTTCTTTCTTTTTTTTTTTTTAAATTACAATGGATTCCTAATCAGTCATCCTGCTTCCAACCTTTCCCTTTCTATAGTCTGCATTCAACACAGCAGTGTGCCCTGATTGGGAATTGAACCATGGCCTCCTGGTTCATAGGTTGACACTCCACCACTGAGCCACGCCGGCCGGGCTCCCCTCTATCTTTGCAAAGCTGAAAGGTTTCCCCTTACTCCTGGATCCATCTCGACAAGCCCCAGTGTTGGTAGCAGAAGATGCTGATTAGCGGATGACAGCCATGCGAAAACAATGACTCTTGTTTTTCTCTTGTCATGCCTGTGGTCATAAGTGGATGAAGCAATGAGTGGACCCCACATTTGACTCAAACAATTTATTATTTTAAAATTCCTTTTTCTTTTTAAATATAAAGGTCATGTAGCTATTAAGTGGCAGAGCTGGAGATTTCTGCTGGCCTGTCCTGCTATGGTGGTGGGAGCTACACTGTGGGGCAGTGGGTGTGATAAGGGCTGAGATCAAAAAAGGTGGGTCAGGACCACTTCGTGCAGGGCCTTCTACACTGGTTAAGAACCTAGGATAGCCCGGCCGGTGTTGCTCAGTGGTTGAGCATCGACCTACAAAGCAGGAGGCCCGGGCACATGCCCAGGTTGTGGGCTCGATTCCCAGTGTGGGGCGTGCAGGAGGCAGCTAATCAGTGATTCTCTCTCATCACTGATGTTTCTATTTCTCTCTCCCTCTTCCTTCCTCTCTGAAATCAATAAGAATATATCTTAAAAAAGAAAGAAAAAAGAACCTAGGATATTGTTCCCTGGGCCTGGGGAGCCCCTGAAGATTTTGGGGAGCCACATCCCATGTTTATTGGTCATTTGGAAATCACTTATAGGTTATCGTTTTAATCTATGGGGAGCAGTTTGAAATGCGTGATAATAGGCCCATTTATTTTATTTTTTTACATTTACTGAGCACTTACCTTATAAAGGGCTTTATGTATGTTTTCTATTATAATCTTTATAAAAACCCTTGTGTATGAGGTTTAATTTTTTATTATTATTATCTTTAAAATGTATTTTTATTGATTTCAGAGAGGAAGGGAGAGAGAGAGAGAGAGAGATGATGGGAATCATGGATTGGCTGCCTCCTGCAGGCCCCACCCTGGGGATCGAGCCCACAACCCAGGCATGTGCCCTGACTGGGAACCTAATGGAGACCTCCTGGTTCCTAGTCCAGCGCTCCACCATGCCAGCTGGGCCTATTAGGTTTTACTGTCATCTAACTGCAGGGGAGGAGACTGGGCCTCCAGAGGTTAAGTGGCAGGTCACAGCTAGTGAGGTCACCACCCAGGCAGTGTGATTCGGATTCTTGACGATCACGTTCCAGAGCAGGAGCCACTAGCTCTGCCCGAGAGGGTGGGCAGGCTTCCTGGAGGTGGGGCCGCGGGGGGCAGGCTGGGGTGGCGAGGTGGGGTTTCCTCCCCCCAGGTGCAGGTGCTGATGTGTGCTGTCCGCCTGCAGGTGCCCTGCTGCAGGAGGAGCGGCTGGACGCGGTGACCCTGCTGTACGCCACCTCGCTGCCCAGCTTCTGCCTGCTGGCCGGCGCGGCCCTGGTGCTGGAGGCCGGGGTGGCCCTGTCGCCGGCTCCCACAGACTGCCGCCTCTGGGCCTGCATCCTGCTCAGCTGCCTCCTGTCCGTGCTCTACAACCTGGCCAGCTTCTCCCTGCTGGCCCTCACCTCTGCCCTCACCGTCCACGTCCTGGGCAACCTCACTGTCGTGGGCAACCTCGTCCTGTCCCGGCTCCTGTTCGGCAGCCACCTCAGCGCCCTCAGCTACGTGGGCATCGCCCTCACCCTGGCGGGGATGTTCCTTTACCACAACTGCGAGGTCGTGGCCTCCTGGGCTGCCCGCTGGGGCTTCTGGCGGAGGGACCAGCCTGGCAAGGGTCTCTGAGGCCTGAGAGAGCGCCTGGGCCGTCGGGGACAGCCCCCCCCAGCCTGAACCCAACCTTGGCCAGTGGCCGTGGGACAAGCGGAGAGCAGGCAGCCACTGGGCCTTGGGAGGGCGAGGTGCCTTCGGGAAAGGCCACCTGGGGGGCTGCATGGGGCCTCCCAGCGAGAACCCCTGTCCCTGCCTCCCTCCCCTCACCCCAGGTCCCGCTCACCACTGGATGGTGGGTCCACGCCTGGCACACTCACTGTGCTTGTCAGAGTAACTATTATTAATCCCGATGACTACGCCGAAAACTACTGGCCAAACTTCGAGGACCTCTCCGTGTTCTGATGACGACGATGACGATTCCTGGCGGTTGCACAATCCTCCCTCCAGGAAGTGGGGGAGGCAGCTGGGGGGCCCCGGGACGGGCTTGTTGCTGCTGGGCTCCCCTCGGTGGTGGTGGTGGGGGGGTGTCATCTGTGCCAATTCCCGGCAGCTGCTGTAGCCTCATCCCTGGACCCTCCAGTTTTGGGTCTCCCGCCCTCAAATAAACTATTTTTGCTTGTACCCCTGTGTCATTCCTCAGGGTGACAGCCAAGGAAATACAGCGGAACCTCGTTTCTCGAACTTAATTCATTCCGGAAGGCTGTTCGAGAAGCGATTTGTTTGAAAACTGAATCATTTTTTCCCATTAGAAATCATATAAATTGAATCAATCCATTGCAGACAACAAAATAATTC